TAATCTTTTTCAGCATACTCATTTTTCGAGAACTTTTGGAAGTCCTGTCTGCCCAGCTCTGATGCTGAGAGTGGGGACTCCTGGCCAGGTTTCCTGCCCGCAGTCCCCCCACCCCCAGGCCCTGCCGCTTGAGCTCCTGTGCACCCATTGTCACCTGGCGTCTCACTGCGCACCTGGGCAAGAAGGAGCCTCACCTGGCACCTGGCCAGCAGCTCAGACTCACGGAGTCAGAACGAGTGCTCCAGGCAGCAGCCAGCACTGTAGGGCTCTGCTTTAAAAGCCACTCTCGTGCCCACGGCGTGGTCCCTTCGTGGGCGCCTGCAGCCCTGGGTGTCGCCATTGAAGGACTGGGGAGCCCCTGTTGGCTACGTGTCTCCCCAGGCGAGGCTGTCAATCTCATTTGGTTCATGCTGGAAAGGAACTAGGTCCCCGGTATTTTGCAAAGTAATTTGTATTTAAGATGAGCAGTGAAAATAGTAGCACAGTCACTGAATTCTGTGGGATGCATTCACAGTTTCAAAGGGGCTCTTAGATTTGCCATCTCAGCATCCCCTCGAGGCAGCCGGCGTCCTCCCCATGTGCGGAAGGTGAAACAAGGGTGGGCTGGGGTCTGGCTCCAGTGCTGCAGGTGCACAGCTGTCCGTGTGACAGAATGGAAGGCTGAGAGCCAGGTGGCCTCCTGGGCATGGGCATGGTGGGCGAAGGCCTCCCAGCTGGCAACAACCATGCCACCTGTGTTGGGAGATGACCAGCGCACCTTCCGGGCAGGACCTGGCTCACAGAGCAGGCCAGACTGTCTGGTTCCCATGGAGGCTGCATGGACCGGACTGCAGCCATCCAGAGGGGCCGCTGGGTTAAAGGTGACCCCCACCCCGCGGTGTGGGGAGTGCCAGCTGTGGATGGAGATGCAGGGTGCTGCTGGGGAAGCTTGTTAAGGCCGGGCACAGTGGCCGGGCTGCCAAGTTCTCCTCTTCCCTCCGAGCCATTGAAGGTCACTAACTTAGACCTGGTCTTGGGAGAAAGCCAGCAAATCCGTCTTCGATCCGTTGACCTCTGGGTTATGGGCCAGCACACTTCCGCTGCGCCACTCTGCTGGTTGCAAATCCACCTTAAAACACACTCGGTCAAAGGAAGTTGCACCCTGTAAGATCTCTTGCCTTCCCGTGGAACTGCTCCCAGATCCATCTGTAAGCCCGTACTGGCCACGGCCAAAGGGGCCCCTGGCGAGTCCTCACCTGCGTCATTCCAGGCCACTGCTCGGGAATGCTGGGAACGTCCGCCTTCGTATTCCAGGAATTCCACAAGCATGATGGTTGCTAGTCTGTGGAATTCCACAGCAATTTGTAATAGCTGGATTCTTGAGGCATTAGCACAATTCCATCCTGGAGGCTTTTGGAGAAGGTTTTTCCGGCCATGCTATTATTTGTCCAGGTCAAATTAAGAAAGAAATGACCAATCCTGTTTAGTCCTGGAGAACTGAGACAGGAAGATGCCCCACCATGTTTATCAGCCGCTCACCTTTCCAAAACCTGGAGCTGAGGCTGGGCGTCCCTGCACGTGTTCTGAGGTGGCAGTGGGATGGCAGGGCCCGGCACCTCCCGTCTCAGCCCGACAGGCCATCAGAGCATCGCGACCTGTGGTGCCCTGCAGTGAGCGTTTGCTCAAGGGCACACAGCCCCCTGCCCGCTGCCCAGAGTTCTCTGAGGAGCAGGTGCTGAGTGCCTGCCGGGCCCGGAGCACCGCACCCAGCCCTGGGATGCCCTGGTGAGCAGCAGTGCCAGAGCGCTGCCTTCCGGCACTCATATTCCAGGCAGGACTCAAGGGGGTGGGGCAGCCTGGTCCCTGTGCAGAGGGAGACACGGGTCGGGGCAGGAGGCTGGACTGCAGGACACTGCCCCTGCCAGGCCTTCCCTGCCTCCCTGGGCGTGGAGGAGAGTCAGTGTCCTTGGACCCTGCCACGGGCTCAGGGTATCTGCCCAGGCAGGCCCCGGCTCCCCCCGGCCCTGGTCTTCTTCCCTATGCACCAGGGGTTTCCAGCCTCAGTGTTGGCGACATGTGGAGCGAGACGACCCTTAGCCCTGGGGACGCTGCCCATGCATTGGGCATTGGAGGGTGTTTAGCTACATCTCCAGCCTCTGCCCACAGCGGCTAGTGACACTCCCTTGAGTTGGGACAATGCAGAATGTCTCCGGATGTTGCCCCCATTCCATCGAGACGCCCTGCTGCGGGGCGGGCTTCGTGGGGAAGCCATTCCACATCTCTCAGGTCCTGCAACTCTTTCCTTCCCGGCCTGTGCAGGAGCCGGCCATGGGAGCCACTGTGTCCCCTTGTCCAGGGCCACCTGCCCTGCCTGTGTCACCAGCCTGGCCGCCACACCTCACCCCAGGTAGCCCACTCACTCCCAGCATCCTGCCCCGTTTCTTCTTCTCCTTTCTAGCTTCTATCCAAAGTGTGCGCCAGGGAACCCCTCCAGCTCCGCTACTATAAAGCATTCTAAAGAGCAGCCTTAGGAAAAGCCACACTGTAAGCCACCAGCCTATTGAGGGGTCCAACTGGCAGATGGCTCTAAGCTCCCTTCCTATTTTCTGTGCAATCTCCGGGACCTAGGATGGTGCACGAGACATTCAGGAACAGGTTCCTACAGGGGATTGGAGCTGAGACAGGCTGGGGGCTGCAGGCCCAGCCCCCCACGCCAGCAGGGTCACTGGCAGACAGGATGGAAGCAGGTGTTCTGAATGCCATCTGTGACGAACTCCCACCTGGTGGGTGGGGGGAGCAGCAGCTGGCCCAGGGCTTTCCTTAAGACATTCCTGTCCCCAAGCAGCTGGTGTCTCTGGAGACCACTACGACTGAGCCAAGCTAGCAGCTGCTTGAATGTGGCTCCTCCTGATGACAGTCTACTCCCATGAGACCCCTGGGGGGAGGCAAGAGATGAGCAGGGGCCTGCACACCTGGGGTGCTGTGGATGGGAGAGCCTGCTCACTGTGCAGGGAGCCACCCTGACAGCGAACACCCCCACAGCCCTGAGTTGCATGTCAGCGAAGCTGCAAGCGCTCACAGGATCCCACTGCAGTTACTGGCCAAGTAGAATCAGGAAGCAGAACACCTCAAAACTTAAAGTGACTTAATGTTGCACATACACAAGTGTGCACTTTGAACTACTGACGTCCTGTGGGATGGATCCGTAATCCTCCCCTGGGCCTGGCGAGAGAGGAGGCACCACCTAGCACAGCCAGCCTGTTTGGTTTCTTGTTCCTTCCTGAAGCCGAGCCTGGCTCTCCATTCTGCAGGGAGCAGGTTCATGGGTCGTGTGGGCCTCAAGGCCCAAGGGGGTAGCGAGACACTCCTTGGCCAGCAAGCACAGTCCCTCTGGCCACGGGACTGGACCGTGGGTGGCGTCAGGGCCCCCTGAGTGTGTGTTCATGCTGAGACTTGGTCAGTGTAGGTGGCTTAGTGTAAGGTGCTGCGTATCCCTGTGTTTGCGCATTTTCAGGAGGTTTCAACACCAGTAACTCCCTCAGACGCATTTTGACCATCCAGAAAGGGGAAAGAGGACGTCCTCCATCTGTCCCCCTTAGGGTCTATGGACAGGTCTAAGGTCAGAGGAGACCCTTCCGTGGCTGTCCTTGATCCAGTGGCTTCAGTGTCAGACCTCCGCCCACTGCCACCAGAGTCTCTTAACTTCCACTGGACATGAGAAAACCATGAAAATGTCCAAATTCCAAGGCCAGCACATTGTTAAAAGACTCCGCCTCCCCCATCCCTGGTCTCTGTCTTTGTCTCTCACACACACATGCACACAATACGTGCACACATGTGCACACAGACATAGCACACCTGCATGTACACAAATATATGCACATGTGCACATGCATGCACGCACATGCATACAGGCATACACATGCAGACACTCATGTGCACATGTGTGTGCAGGCACACACAGACACAGCACACATACATGTGCACAGATACACATGTCCACACTCACATGTAGTCGTACATGCACATGTACACAGACACACATACATGTCCACATGCATGCATGTGTGGGCGCCCACACACACCCCTTAGCCTCAGGGAATTCGGTGCTTTTTCTCTCACCCGTGCCATTTTCTTAGCCTGTCGGGGGGTGGTGGTGCAGGCCACTGCTGGAGGGGCTGAGCAAGACCCCCGCTAGTCATGGGGATGCCCAGAGCACAGCACAGAGAGGAGCAGTGCTCCTGGGGGCTGGACTTGGGGCCGAAGATCCCCACCTGGGTCTCACCGTCCAGCCTGACTCACTGCGCAGACTCCACAGCGCGTGAGGCCTGACTGGAGAGGTACCTTTGGAGCCGGAGGAGCCTGGGACATTCCGTGAGGCCCCTGGGGCTGGAGTTCCCCGGAGACAGATGGTCACGGGGTGGAGTGGACTTTGTGGGATCTAGGAAGGGGGACTGTGCTGGGAAGGGGTCTGGACTCTGCCCGGGGAGGGTGATGAAGCCAGACCAGGGCCTCCTGGTTGGCTCAGTGGTTCTGCACCTGAGGACCTGTGGCCCGAGTGCCCTCCCACCCAAACCACCTGCGGAGGAAGAGTTTTTACTGGGGTATTTGCCAATGAGGGATTCAGGCGGAGTATGCCCAGGGATGGGGCACTCCGCGTTCCTTCTGCTGTTGATATGCCTTCTGCTAAGGGACAAGCCACCCCCCAGGAGTGTCTGCGAGCCTCACAGAAGCACACACGTGCATGCATGCACACACATGCACACACCTGTCCAAACACACAAACGCACGCCTCGGCACTTCCTGGGTGGCACAAGTCATTTTGTACAGAAAACGCTGCCCGAGGTTTCCAGATGACTGTCCCGGCTTTCGCTGCAACCCCCTGGGATGAGGCAGCTTATCTCAGGAGGTCCTTTGCCAGGCGACCTTGAACGTTTCCAGGTGGGACGAGCCCTCCTGGCTCCCACACACAGCAAGGGCTGGCGAGTGTTGACCGGGGCTCTCCGCCTGTGTCTCTCCAGAAAGAGAAGAAGAGCGGGCTGTTGAAGCTGCTGGCCGGGGCGTCCACCAAGAAGAAGCCGCGCTCCCCGCCGTCCGTCTCTCCGACCCACGACTCCCACGTGGCCGTGGATGCCGTGCTGCAGGGCGCGGTGGGACCAGAAGTGTCCTCGCTGTCCGTCCACGGCAGGGCTGGCTCTTGCCCCATAGAGAGCGAGATGCGAGGGGCCATGGGGCTGGAGCCGCTGCACAGAAAGGCTGGATCCTTGGATCTCAACTTCTCCTCGTCCCCTTCCCGGCAGGCATCTCTGTCCATGGTTGCCATCCGGCCGGAGCCCAAGCCATTGCCCAGCGAGAGGTAAGGCGGGGCGTGGGCTTGCGGCCCTGTGGCTGCACTTTGGGGCCCCTGACCTCTCAGCCGGCTTCAGGGAGCAGAGACGGTGGGGCTCCCCAAGGACGGGGTCTACCAGATGCCAGATATTCTCTGGGTTAGACAGAAGCCCTCGGTCCAGAGCTTGGTGGTGAGCATCAGAGACTGAGTCTGGGAGCCGGGGCCGTTGCACACATCTTGATACATGGGCTTCTTGCATGTGGGCCTGCAAGGGTTGGATGAGGAAATCGGTCAGAATTGACGTGGCTCTGAGAGCAACTGGTGAGAGGCCTGCTCGGAGGGTACTGTGTGCCGTGGGCACCCCCCCCCCCAGTGCTAGGGGGCACTAGAGCAGCCCTTCTTGGGCTCTCGCATTATGCACCATTATCGGCTGCTCCTGTGTGCAGGGGGTGCGTGAGGTTGAACCACACAACATTGCTTTCAACCATTTTTGACCCAAACCAGCAGTTTGATATACAGTTCAGCCGAGAGAGGTCCAGGTCTGGTAGCTGCGTCCAGCTGGGGCGGCATGGCTGCAGGTGCCCCAGGGTCAGAGTCACTCAAGGGTCAGAGGTGCTTGGCTTCTTGCAGGAGCCACCTATCTGAGAGCCTTGCAGCCTCCAAGGCCCCCCGACGCAGGCTGGGAGGATTGCAGAGATGCCGTGGTTGGGGAATGAGGGTAGCGGGAAGACCCCATCCTTGTCAACCCCCGGGGCCACACTCCTGGTGCAAGGCAAGACTCCATCCGGGGGGGTTGGGGGATAAGGCAAGGCTCCATCCAGGTGGGGTTGGCACTTGCTTTCTGCCAAGGGCCAGGTACAAATCCTAAAGCCGGTGCAGGCTGTGCATTCCGTGGTAACCGGAGACTGGGCATCCACACATGGCCTGGATATTCTACTTATGGAGATTGAAGTTTAGGTTTCCTACGACTTTATTACATTGTGAAATCTCCCCCCTGGTTTTGTTTTCAGCCGTATCAAAATGTGGAAGCCTTGTTAGCTCTCAGATTGCACCAGTAGCCACAGCTACCCTTGGCCACCCGCGTCTGGAGGAGGCTTTGGGGTGAACCCACAGGGGCTGGGAGGTCCAGGGTTGCCAGAAATCCACCTGCACGGAGTCTTGCAGACACAGCTTGGGCCTGCAGCCACCAGGTAGAGGGAAAGCTGGCACTTACCCCTGCTGTTTGGATGACGTAGCTGACGTCTAGGAGGGAGTATGCGGGGCTGACTGCCAACAGCTGATACGGATGCCAGCGCCAGCGCCCAGAGCCCCGGCTCGCTCTCTGAGGCCTCTTCCCGAGGGCCTTACGTGTCTTGCACCAGTGACTGCCCCTGAGAGCTGTCAGCATCCCCATCTTACCCATGAGGAAGCAGGTCCCATAAAAGGCTTGAGATCCCGCAGCGAGTTGCCAACCACGCCAGAGATTCAGCCAAGGGCTTTTGGATCCTAAGCATGGGTTCTGAGTAGCTTCACTGTGTCGGGTGTGAGGTCAGCAGCCCTCAGGGTGTTCATAAGGCCCACAAAGGGAGCCATGGTATCTGTGGCTTGAGAATAGTGTGACACACGACACAGCCCTGCCAGGTGCAGCATCTGCTTCTGCACCCTACACACACACACACACACACATGATACAGAAGGAGCCCCAGGTTGACACAGGGCTGCTGTGAACTAACTAGAAGTCTGCAGGCCGACTCTGTGACTTGGGGTGGGAAACCACTGCACCTCGCACTGGGGGCCCAGGGGCAGGAAGGTTGCCCCTCATTGGAAGATCCTCCCCTGGCGGTGGGAGGGGAGAATGTGTGTGTAGGAGTGTGAGTATATGTGTGTTTGCGTGAGTGTATGTGATATGCATGTGTGCTTGCATAGTGTGTGTGTTTCTGTATGCATGTTTATATGTATGTATGGTTTGCATGTGTAATGTGTGTGTGATGTGCATGTGTGCTTGCATAGTGTGTACAAGTGTGTGTCGTTCTGTGTGCATTACTTTGGTGTGTGCATGGGCATCTGTGTTGTGTTTGGTGTGCATATGTGTATTTGAGTGTTTATATATATGTATGTGGTGCACGTGTGTTTTGTGTGGTGCGCATGCATGCTTGCATAGTGTGTACAAGTGTGTGGTATGGTATGCAGTGTGCGTAACTGGTGTGTGCACAGTGTGCATGGTCATCTGTATGTTGTGTTTATGTGGATGTGTGTGTGTTTCTGTATGCATGTTTGTATGTATGTGTGGTTTGCATGTGTTGTGTGTGGTGTGCATGTGTGCTTGCATAATGTGTACAAGTGTGTATCATTCTGTGTGCATGACTTTGGTATGTGCACAGGGTGCATGGGCATCTGTATGTTGTTTATGTGCATGTGTGTGTATGTTTCTGTATGTGTGTTTATATGTATGTGTAGTGCACATGTGTTGTCTGGTGTGTATGTGTGCTTGCATAGTGTGTACAAGTGTGTGGTGTGCAGTGTGCATGACTTTGGTGTGTGCACAGTGTGTATGGGCATCTCTATGTTGTGTTTGGTGCACGTATGTGTGTGTTTCTGTATGCATGTTTATATGTATGTGTGGTTTGCATGTGTAATGTGTGTGTGGTGTGCCTGTGTGTTTGCATAGTGTGTACAAGTGTGTGTCATGCAGTGTGCATGACTTTGGTGCGTGCATGGGCATCTGTATGTTGTGTTTGGTGTGCATCTGTGTGAGTGTATATGTGGCACACATGTGTTGTGTATGTGGTGTGCATGTGTGTGTGGGCATCTGTGTGTTCTGGGTGTGCATGTGTTTCTGTATGCATGTTTATATGTATTGTGGTGTGCATGTGTGTGTGTGTTTCTGTATGTGTGGTGTGCATGTGTAATGTGTGTATGTGTGGTCTGTGAGATATGCAGGGTCCCGGACAGGAGCACGTGGACAACAGTGCAGCGCCACCTGGAGTTTGGAGGGTGCAGCAGCAGGTGCCGCCCCTGGAAGGGCTGTGACACGTTCATTCCCTACCCTCCCCTGCCACAGGAAGCAGGCTCCCTCAGACCCCTCCACTGAGTCTTCAAAGACAGAACTCCCAGACTCCTCAATGAAAGGTCTTGAAAGGCGCTGCTCTCAGAAGTGACCGGAGTCTGACTGACGACTTCAGAGAATCGCTCCCAGTCTCTGAATACGCTGTCCGATCAGGAGCTGTTGTACCCAGAGACTCCCAGCGCCCTCCACACCCCCACGCTCTGTGGAGCTCACTGAAGGGAAGCATTTTCAAACACAGCCTGAACCCAAACTGCTAGCCAGGCCCAGAGACTCTGCCTGCCTGCATCGGGGAAGCCACAGGCCGCTGGTGTCCCAGGAGCCCGGACGGGTTGGACTGGGACGTGCTCTCCCTCAGCCGGAGACGGCTCCAGAAAGGGAGAGGGCCCTGGCGCTGTGCGCCCTTGAATGAATGGTTCTTCGCAGCTCACTTTGCAGAAGGAACAGCTGGGGTGTGGCCGCGCTGTATTCCAGGGGTGAGAGTCCCTGCCCACGTGCCAGACACTCAAGAAGGAGGGCCTGGGGTGTTCGGACCCCCTTGTGGTTGCAACAGTGAGGATGCTAGCAGGCAGGGGGCCCCACCCCACACTCCAGAGCTGGAGCCACTGGCTCCAGCTGCCATAGGGTTGCTGCCCGGGGTCTCCCAGGCCATTCCCACGCACAGACCCTCTGGGGACCCATGCTGAGGACCTGGGGACACAGGGAGAGCAGCTCTCTGTGCCACTGAAGGGAATGCGCTCGGGGTGGAGGTGCTGCAGAGGGCGCTCCGAGGGAGCTGCTCAGGGGAGCTCACCACCGACCCCCAACCCCTGCCAGTGTGCCCTGCCAGCCGGCCAGCCGCACTTCCTTCTCACGGAATCCTGCATTCTCTGTTGACACGACAGCGTGCTGGAGGCTGAGTCATTAATAAAGAGAAGAGGTTTGCTTAGCTCATAGTCCTGGAGGCTCAGGAACGTGGTGCTGGCATCTGCTTGGCTCTAGTGTGGTCCCATAGGTGCATGACAACATGATGATGGCACCATGGTGGGAAGGCTTGCAAGAGGGGAGATCCTGGGCGGGACAGGAAGCCAGAGGGGTTTAAGGGCAGCCAAGTCTGCTCTTTATCTAACTCGCCCTTGTGGGAACTAAACCAGTTTTCAAGGGAAATATATTGATCCTCTTCCAAGGACGGCACCCCAATGACCTAATCACCTTCCACTAGACCCATCTGTGCAAGGGCTCACAGCCTCCAGCATCACCACGCTGGGGACAAGCTTCCAGCACATGAACCTTTAGGGGACACACTCACGACATCTCCAACCATGGCAGCCCGAAGGAACCAGGCCCACAGCATAATGGGCAAACCAGAGGGCCAGTTACCAGTCCCTTCCGAGGGCACTCAACTCTGGGCCTTGCATATACACTCTTGTCCCTGTAACGGTAAACACAAGGAGCCAAATTTCTGGAAGCTGCTTAGGGAACTTGAAACAGAGTGCAGATATGAAATGCAGATGTCATGTGGATCAAACTAAAACATCTGCTGGCCCCGTCTCCCCAGGGGCTTCCCCCAGCCCTGCAGGATGCCCACCTGCTGGCTCCCTTGTACCTCCATGGTATTGCAGAGTGGCTGGTTAGTACATGACTGCACCTGCCACCCATAAGCCATTTCACCCTAAACCCAGTTCTTCATCTCTTGAGCCCTAGCGCCCTCATATGTTAAATGAGGATGATAATACCTAGGAATAATATTTGGAAAGCAGTTAGAGTAATACTTACAAGTTACAGGTGTACAATAAACAATATATACTACGACCTACATTATAAGAGCAAGATGATAATGATGGGGATGACGCTCCAGTGACTGGTCTAGTCTTTCCCCCTCGAGGAATCCAAGCTCATCCTTAGCAATCTTGGTTTTAAAGATTTATTGACTTATTTGAAAGTTCATCTGTTGGGTTCAGTCCCCAGTTGGTTTCAATGGCCATTTGGGCCATCCTCCACTGCT